TCAATATTTTTCGAAATTCGACACTATTGTCGAATTGCCAGTGGAATTTCGAAAAATTTTGAAATTACACTGGAAAATGGACACTGTCGAAATTCCGTTGGCGAAATTCTTATTGGCGAAATTCCGTCTCACCGGTTCTACTCATTTGATAATATTTCAAGACTAATAGTTAAAACTAGTCGGAGATATAAGTCACCCATTGATGATTCCTATTAACTTTTATGTGGAGATTACTTCATCAATCAGACAAACTAAACCCGTAAACATGAAAATTTTATTGTTAATAGAGGCAGTACACTGAGCTGTCTGATTAATCCTTACGAGCAGAATGCAACATGGTCAAACTAGAAGATTAACGTTTAGACGCTCATTTATCTGCTAGCCAGATTTTTTGCGACTACTACATCTATTATATTAAGACATTATTGATATAAACTTTGTGGGAATATTTGAATTCAATAGTTTTGATCGGAGTTCCAGATCTAGAAATTCTTGGATATGATGGACTTTGTTCAACACTCCCTGTTAGATCTTGATTTAAAAAAAAAAATCAATTTTGTATGAACCTTTCTTTTCTTGTAATATGTATTCCGTCTAAATTTTGAATTGTTAAACACCAATTAAGAATATATGGACGATAATCAAATGGTTGATGACAACCATGTCGATCATCAATAACAAATAAACATGGATTATTATGAATATATAATGTATTTAAATCAATCAATGATGATAAATAACAAATCTAATTAAAACAAAAAAAGAATTTTAAATTAAAATGACTTCAAAAATTTTTACTTCAGTTAAATCTTTTATTTCATTATCTGATATAATTAATGTATGAATTGATTTTGACCAATATTTTGATGTTAATGTATCAATCAGATTTTTATGTAAATTTAAATACTAAAAAAAAAAATAGAATTAATTTTTTTTTTCAATTAAAGAACTAGTTATTGAAACAATAGTTTTTTTTAGTCCGTAGCAATTCGAATAACAGTAAATTTTAATCAAAATTTCCACTTACTTTTAGTGATGTTAAATGTGAAAGATCTTCAATATGTCGAATAGAATTATCACTTGCATCTAATGATTGTAATGAATGACAACTATTTAATGCACCAATATTTTGAATATTATTGCCGGAAATATTAAGTATGACAAGATTTTGTAAAGTTTTTAGACCTAAGAAAAGAAAATATTCGATATAAGAAAATAATTTCTGCTTTCTTTTGTTTTTTTTATTACAATCAATTGAATCAAGAGAATTATTGGATAGATTTAATTTTTGTAATGTTTTTAAACGACCTATTAAACGAATATCAATTAATCGATTATCAGATATTGATAACTAAAATCATAGAAGAATATATAAAGAAAATCTATAGAGAAAATCTTACTTGAATAAGATGTGTAAGAACATCAAGATGTTCAACTTTACTTATATCATTATGATCAAGTAAAACAACATTAAAATTAATATCATTTGATAGTTTTTCTATTTTTTTTAATTTTTTTGAACATAAATCAAGTTCTGTTAAATGTTGTTGTGATAGACGATCGTCTATAGAAAATGTTAAAGGTTGATAAACTCGATTTGACATTGGTGTTGTTATTCTTGAATGCATGAATTCACTTTGGCAATGATTAGTTGTTTGTTCTTGCCGCGAAGGCGCTGGACGATGTTGTACGATTTGCATTTAAATTTGAAGAACTAGTAGAAATGAGAATATTCTAAATGATCATCATTGAAAAATTGAATGGACGTAAAAAAATGTGTTAAGTAGTAGTTGAGTAAGTGATTTTCATGTTCTTTAAATGATTTCATTTCTTTTTTTTGTTCGTTCTTTACTCGCTTATTTCTTCATCTTTAAGTTCATGTCTTTGTTATTACCATATTTTTCAAGTGTTCATGACCATAGTAACAATGAAAGACCAATGAGATAAATATTTATTATTGAACATAAGTTGTAAATGTTTTTTGGTTTCAAAAAAAGTGTAGTTTTTGGTTTAAAAGTTGGGAATATCGGAATGATAGATAGCGCCACATGTCAATGCGGATCTTGATCGTTGTATGATGCACTTTTTTTTAGTACTGCATTGAACGTGAATTATATTTTCTTAAATTTCAGAGACAAAGAAAAACGCAATTTTTAAGATCAAATATCAATTCATTAGTGATGGTCATCAGACTTTGAAAGGGAAGGAAGTATGATTTTTCGAAGAAGATATAGAATTCGATGGGACTTTAGTCGTCTGAGAAATATCGGTGTTACATAAATATAAAAAATCGGAAAAAATTATCTCATATCTTCAGGACGATTATCCAATTCCGATTAGAAAATTTCATTGAAAGTATCAAAGTACAATTCGTCAGAGTACGAAAGTATTGGATCCGACGGGCCATATGAGTAGGCAATCATAGACAAAAATCATTTTTGAGGCTCAGCGGTTGCGGTATTTTTACCTTGTTTGTTCATTACCTTTTTCTGAAGAAGTATATGACCATCCATCACTGAAACTCAAATATTATTTAAATAAAGTTCGTATGCATCAGTAACTGATGGTCTCTATTTAATACTCTGAATTTTCTAGGAAACTTTACTTTAGGACTCTTTCTAGAAGAACAGGAAAGATGACCATCGTAAAAGGTTGAAATCTTCTAGTAGATGATTGTTGGTCGATCCTTTGCTAGTTTTTGATTGCTAATGATAGAGAAAAGTTTTAGACTTTAATTCATAGAGAAAATCATAAGAATAACTAATAAAAAATGAATGCAAATTATTTTAATACTAAAGTCTATTGTATGTACCCAAAACAATATAGCAGATTTGAAAATTCAGTAGCAGACACCCAACTTCATATCTTCTTTTCCTTTTCGTTCGTCAGTTCTCGAATACTATAGTGTTCCATATGACTATTTGGAGTGAAACTCATATGGCTATCGGACGGTTTTAGACACTATTCGAATTGCACTATGTTTTTCATAGTTTTGCGCGAATTATTACTTTTCTGATGTCTTCACTAGTTTCGTTGGCTTTTTCACAGTTACAAAGTGCTTTCTTATGCATGAAATTTTCGAACACCCATGACAGTTACTGTTACATACTTTGAATAACACAGATGTTTTTTTTCTATTGAAGTAACTTGTCTTAATTTTTAATTAATATTCTTAAATGTTTCTTTATAGATAAAAACTTAGAATTATATTCTATCACCAGAAGAAAACTCAGCTCATTCGATAAAGACTCAGTGAAGACATTTGCATCTTTTTTGTGAGTGACATCTGATAATTAAAGCTTACATACAAATAAAAAGTATCATCGTTATAATTTTCTCAAAGTAGTTTTCCTAGTGATCATCTGATTCCTGTACTTGTTAAACGTCACATCATACCATCATTATAACTTTAATTAGACGATGAATAATGTCGTATTTGACTTCATTTTTAATTATTCCATCATTTGATCTGCATAGATTAGCATCTAATGAAACTAGTACTATTAAATTAAAACAATCCTTGAAATTCTATCAAAGAATGAGTGCATGAGACTTGTTTTCTGAAGTCGGACATAGTTACAATCATTTGAAATAAAAGATTTTCAATTGTACCTTCTTCACATTCGTAGATAAATTTTGTGTTGTTCCGATCATCACTCAGTTGCAATCTGCTTTTACTGTGATTGCTGATTATTTCAATATATATTGCGCATGTGATAAAAAAACAAACGGAACATGCTCATAACATAGATAATACAAGACACTATCGTGCTGACAAGCATTGGTTAGTATCAAAGAATATTTTTGAATTATTTGCTTTTTTAGCATTATTTTCATAAGATTCTAGTATTTTAATTTTTGTCACAGTCATTTATACGTTGAAGATACGAATAATGTTCTCCTATTTTTCTGCATAATATTATCTTTTTGACGTGGTACTTTCTCTTTTTTTCATTTTTACATACGATATCCGTATTTATTTTGCGTAACTTACAATACAATGAATTTTATCAGAGAACGTTGCTAAATTTTAAATCGCTTGTGACTCAGAACCTTATCCATCATACAGGTTCTAATGAGTTATGAACATTTTAAAAACAGTTCAGACTAATAACTTATGACTGCTGATATACTGTGTTTTTTAGCGCAATGCAGTGATCCACCACAGGAACACCAGGAAAATTGAGTTTCGAATTTCGAGTTGAAATTTTGCATTGAAACACGTTTTGATTGAAATAGTTTATTTAAAAAGTGTTAGATATTTTGATTGCTTCTGTTCTCAGATACGGCTGTAGTAAAAGCATATTTTGCACGTAACTTATATACAACAGTAAATCTCGTAAAAGAGCTGTCTATGTATAGAGTTTCAAGTTAAAATTCGAAACTCAATTTTTCGGATGTTCCTGAGGGATACCACGCGATATTCTGTTAAAAAATACAGTATCTCAGCAGTAATAATCTATTAGCTCGAACTCTGTTTAAAGCATTCACAGCTCATTAGAACCCATATAATGCACATAGTTTCGAATCAAAGACAATTTTATATTTGCTGTTTGAACTCAGATTGAAGTCACAGATAGGTCTTAATGGGACTTGAAAATATCTAAAAGAATTTGTCCCTATAGGTCTTTGTTGCGAAGTTACAATGAGTTTATTGGACTTTTGATTTATTTGTAGCTAGCTCCTAAAAACTAAAACGTCACAATTTCGATCTAAAGTTTTGCTTATGGATAGATCTAATGATTCTTAAAATATTCTGAAAGCTTCAGCCGAAAAGAATGTTCCTCTATCACGATATTGAATTTCCAAAAATAGCCCATTGTCACTGTCAAAGAGTTCACTTTAAAATTCAATAAAGGAACGTTCTTTTTGGTTGAAACTTTCAGGATATTCTAAGAGTTATATTAGAGCTACCTATAGGTAAAATTTTCGATCGAAACTCCGTTATTCAATCTTTCGCGGGATATCCAAAAATCCGGCAAACCGATCATAACTCGCGGATAGTTTTCAACAGTATCTCATAAAACAATCTAGCCTTCGCTATTTCTCTAAATTATCGCAACTATATTTGACGCGTGTGCATAAATTACATCGAAGCCGTTTTGAAGCAACACTGATTGTTGATTCGAGAGCTTAACTTTAAAACTTAATATATTATTTTATTCAAAATTTGAATATTTTCCAACATAATCATTTGTTAGTGCTCGAATTATATTACTAATTTGCTGAATTTGAAAACGATAATTTTCAAAAGTACAGTCAGCCAAGTGCGACATCTATATCACACATGCCTTTTTGTTTATTTTTAATTTTTAAAAGTAAATAAACAAAAGATAAATTGATAAAATAAAATAATACATTCGAAAATTTTCTCATACACATTTATAGGGTATTTTAGTTGAAATTTCTTTTTTGTTTTGTTCTATTATTTCTACTTCCCAATGAAAGGTTACTCATTAATCGATTCATTGATTTTTCTCAAATCCTCTCCACGGATGGTCCTGACCAACCAAATCTAAAAGAAAGAAAATTAGAATCAAGCTGAAATAGGTTGCCCATCTTGATCGTAATCATTCATAGTCATTTTTTTGTCCCATATTCTTTGTTTTTTCATTTTTCTTGCGTCATACATATTACTTTTATTATCAACTTAATTTTACACATATTATCTCAATATGTCTGAGTATTGGAAATCAGGTGAACGACATTTTTGTACATTTTGTAAATGTTGGTTAGCTGGAAATAAAATTAGTATTGATTTACATGAACGTGGTAATCATCATAAGAGTATGGTTAAAGTTAAACTTGATCAATTACGTAAAGCAAGTATTGAAAAAGAACATCAAGATAAACAACTTAATCAAACACTTGGTCAAATGGAACGTGCTGCTAATGAATCATTTCGTCGTGATATGGCATCAAATTCAAAGAATATTTCAACTTATGGTGAAGGAAATATTCCAACATCATCCGACGTAAATCTTCCATCGAAACTTAAACGACAAATAAATCAACCTGTACAAGTACAATGTAAAAAACCGAAATTTATTCTTAAAGTTCCAACACCTAAACCAGTTTTTGAACCTATTTCTACGTCAACAGAATCAAATGAACAAGATGAAACAGAAAAAGAAGAACTAACAACAAGTAATAATAATAATCAAGAAGGTACTTGGTATGAATCGAAAACTGAAACACAAGAATCATTCTATTGGAATGATATAACCGGTGAATCAACATGGACACCACCAGCTGTTTATCTTTCAATTGAACAACAACGAGCAAAAGGATTAAAAGTTTGATATATATTGTTCTTATATTCGATATTTTGTTTTTCTTTGTGTATTTGAAAATTATGTAAATAGATTGCTTATGTTCTCGTATATAAATTTCAGATAAATATTTATATTAAATTACTCTTTCAATAATGTCGAGTGATTCACGAAAAAAAACTTATAAACATACTGGACTTGATAGTGAAGAAATACGTAAACGACGTGAAACTCGTAATCTTACACTACGAAAACAAAAACAAGAAGAACAAGTAGAAAAAATTTATTGAATTTTTTTCTATATTAGATTTTCTATTGTTTTTAGCATTTCAAACGACGAAATTTAGCAAGTGCAAATGAACAAGAAACACCAACTTCATTTACCCTTGCCGATACAGTTACTCCATCCGCTGGAGCAATAGAATCAGTAAGAATTGTTAGATAAATATTACTTAAAATTGAGCAATTTCTATTAAATATTTTGTTCTTTTTTTATCTGTTCGTCTAAATTTCATCATAATCAGCAAATAGTTTTAAAATTTACAATTATGTCTAGTACTTAGTGAGAGTATAATTTATTAGGCTCGAATTTTTAGCACAACTAGATTATCGAGAAAAATTTCCTGGAGGTACAACATTAAGAAATTTCGTCAGATATCAAATTGCTTGTTGACTGAAGGTCAGATCTTTGTTTTTGCGATATCAAAATTTTACTGGATTCTTTAACAAAAATTTGTGATTCTTCACAGATCATTTGGATGATCAATTTTTGAATTCAAACTTTGCATAATTTTTCTTCTCTTTGAATCCCATCATATAAGAAATTTTTATAACACACTCACAAACGAAAGAGCGCAACAACAAAAAAAACAGAAGAATCTGCAGTTTTCTGCAAAAGACCTGCACAAAATGTCGAGACTTATATCTCTTCGATAAATGACTTGTGAAAAGAATATTTGTTTATCAATTGATAAGAAATTTTCTTCTCTTCCGAACAGTATGTAATTCATATACGTCACGTATCAGTGAGGAAAATTAGTCGAGAAAAAAAAAAGAGAAACATTCGCGCAATAAATCTATAATTTTTATATGTACTCATCGAAAATATCGCGCGAATGTGCCCAAGAATCTAAATTATGCACAGTTCAAAATAGAAGAAAATTTCCTATCAACTAATATCAAAATATTCGCTCCAAAATGTCTTTAGTTATAGGAAACAACATTATGCACTGGTTTTCTGAATCTTACGAAAAGTGCGGATTCTCTTTTCAGTTATGTTTATGAATGTGTGATGATAAAAATAAATTATATACGATTCGAAAAAGGATTTTTCCAGTACCCTTCTAATTGAAGAGAAATAGGGGTCAACATTTGTCCGGTGACTTTTGCATCATATATTAGTTGAAAAGTTAAAGCTTACACAATCAACTAGTCTGATTGAGAAGTTTGCAGCGCAGTTTCGGTTATTAAAATATCACATGGTACCAATATTATACATATACACTAAAATCTTTAATCTCAAGATTGAAAAAATGAAGATTTCTGTATATAGATTTAAGAGTTTTTGTATCTATTTGATTTGATTCCAGTTTTTTTTTGGAACCGCCGAGCTCTACCTGAGAGGGATCAGAGCCTAGTAAAATTTTGATATTTTAAGAACGAAAGCTCGTAAAATCAAACTATTCAGAATTTTTCTATTACTCAATTAATGGGACACTTTCAATAAACTCTGAAGATCAACTTTTTTAAATTTTTTCTTCGAACATAAATTTCATCATTTTCGATAATCTAGCTGAGATAAAAATTTATATTTCTTTCCTTATATGATTATATGTTAAAGATCAGAGAACAAAATCTAATACAGTAACCGAACTATTCATCGCGAGCATCTGTATTATCCTTGTATCGTTCAATACTATACGCTATTATTCTAGGTTATCACAAGTCAGATGGTAGCTGCATTATATGGCGATGATGCCCAACAAATGCTTGAAGCAACTATTCGTTTTCGAAAATTACTTTCAAAAGGTTTTTATTATATTTTTTTTTTTATATATTCAACATAGTTAATATGCTTCTAGAACCAAATCCACCCATTGATGAAGTTATTCGAGCTGGCATAGTACCTCGTTTTGTTGAATTATTAAAATTTGAACATTTTCAAATTCAAGTATGATTTCATTTTGATAATTAAAAATCTAAGTTTAGAAAAATTTTCTTTTTTTTCTGCAATCTAGTTTGAAGCAGCATGGGCTTTAACAAATATTGCATCTGGTAATTCGAGTCAAACAAAATATGTTATTGATGCTGGTGCAGTACCAGTCTTCGTTCACTTATTAACTAGTATAAATGAAGATGTTCAAGAACAAGTAAATCTTATTACCTTTTTTTTTAAATTAATTATTCTTTTTTTTTCAAAATATATCTAATTTTTAGGCTGTTTGGGCTCTTGGTAATATTGCTGGAGATAGTCCTGAATGTCGTGATTATGTTCTTAGTACAGGTGTACTTCCACCATTACTAACGTAAATATTAATACATTATTAATATTATATATATATATATATATCATGTGTATTTGTTTTTCTTAAGTATTTTTGCTCGTCATACTCGTTTAACAATGATACGTAATGCAGTATGGTGCTTATCAAATTTATGTCGTGGTAAAAATCCAACTGTTGATTTTAATACAGTAAATAAAATGAAGTTTTTGTTTTGAAACTAAATATTTTAATTATATAATTCAGGTTGCTCCAGCATTACCTGTACTCAATCAACTTTTACATAATTATGATGCTGATGTATTAGCTGATACTTGTTGGGCTATTTCATATTTATCTGATGGACCTAATGAAAAAATTCAGGCTGTTATTCATATTGTTGATGTTCGACGACTTGTTGAACTTTTAGCGTAACGATTTATTTGATAAAAATTTATATAAATATGACTTTTTTTTTCGTTATATTTTTCTATTCTTATTAGACATCCTATTTTGAATGTTCAATCATCGGCTTTACGTGCTGTAGGTAACATTGTAACTGGTGATGATCATCAAACACAGGTGATTATATTTATTTAATTGTAAAGGAAAAAAACACGTTCTATAAAATGCTTTTCCAATAGGCTGTTCTTGATGCTGGTGTTCTTCCACATCTTTTAACATTACTTCAAAGTCAAAAGGAATCAATCAAAAAAGAAGCATGTTGGACATTATCTAATATAACAGCTGGTGTTCAAAATCAAATTCAAGTAAGTTTCTGAAGATTTTTTCGTAGAGAAAATTTCCATTTAATCTTTTCTCTCTTGTAACAATTCGAAACAAAAAATAAAAAAGAATATAGTTTTTCGTCAGCATTTCAACACTACTATAGACCAGTGCATCAGTCAAGGCTAGTCTGTTTCAAGAAAATAGTTTTTCCGATTGAAAAAATCGAAATCAATGCAAGACCATCATCGTGAGTCTATACACTCGTGTTTAGATCGATGAATACATCTATTTTCTTATTTGTTTGCTGCGTGATCGCGCCTCAATCACACTAGCTGTTACGCTCCTTTACTTGGAATTTTTAAACAACGATAAATATATATCAAATACTCAACAGTTGATAGAAGAGATTTAATCATTGATAGGCTTCTTCCATTTGAGATAAAATTAATATTGTAATCAATGTTGATTAATAATTATTCTGATAACAAATCAATCTAACTCAATAAAATAAGTTTAAAAAATGGAAATAGAATTTTTATCGTAGGTAGATGTAGTGAAATTTCTTCTCTCAGAATATATTGACTTTTCAAAAAACGGTCAGATTTTAACAGACTTTTGGAAGAGATTTCGACTCTACACTACTCTGTTTTTCTAGAGATATGTTCATGTTTTGGAAATGCTATCTTTTTTACTCGCATTAGAATAGAATAAACATTCTTATGTAATTCAAACACGACAGATGGTGCCAAATTATGTCACCTATTACTTACTTTTAAAAATTCCATTTTAATATGTTATCTTTTGTGATGTTCAATGAAAAACTTCACGTGTAAAATTATTTACCATTTTTCTCAGAAGATAATTTTCAATCATAACAATTGAAATATAACTAATATTTTTGTTTTGTTTTATAGTTGATATCTGTATTGAGAAAAGTGAGATTTAGTGCCGTAAAGTAACATTCATTTTTTTGCTTCTTTGAACACCGTTATGTACTAAAACAAATCATAAAAAATGAATGAAAGTGAATTTCAAAAAAAATCCATTTTGATAAAACTGCGCACAGGGAACGTGTTTAAACTAGAAGGATTCTTTCCTATGCGTTTTCATTTTTAAGTTATGACCGTTTTTTTTTATAACGACCGTACCAAAGATTAAAAAAAAACAGTGTAACGGTCATAAATCCAAAAGGATAGCGCCCATAAGGAAGAATCCTACGTAATGACTTGAGTCTCATCTTAAACGCAAGATATCACCGTGAATAATTCCCTCGTTAGGTAAATATTCCGAAATGCCGCATTATATTTTTAAGAAATATTATAATGCAACAAGTAAGAGGAAAAAAAATTTTTTCCAGTTATTGTTACGGATAGCCTCGTTGCTGGTTAAGAAGGCTTTAATGTTTTGTTTATAAATAAAATAAAAAAAAAAAAAAATTTCTTTTAGGCTGTTATTGATGCGAATATATTTCCATCATTAATCAATATTCTTAAACATGGTGATCAAAAAACACGAAAAGAAGCAGCTTGGGCTGTTACAAATGCAACATCAGGTGGTACATCACAACAAATCAAGTAAAAAAATTTTTCTTTTGATTTTTAATAAAAATATTTTTCTTATTTAGATATATTATTGAACAAGGAGCTATTTCACCATTATGTGAATTATTAAGTGTTATTGATGCTAAAATAATTCAAGTAGCTTTAAATGGTCTTGATAATATTCTTAAAGTTGGTGTACTTGAAAGTAAACAAACAAATGGACAAAATCCCTATGCTATAATGATCGAAGAATGTTATGGTTTGGATAAAATTGAATATTTACAAAGTCATGAAAATATTGAAATCTATCAAAAAGCATTTCATCTTATTGAAGCATATTTTGGTGCTGATGACGAAGAACATATTCCTGCGGTAAAAAAAAAAAAAGATAATAAATTTTATTTTATATTTTTATTTTTATTTTTAATAGCAAGGAGAATCTCGTCCATTTGAATTTGGCACTACAACAAATAATCTAACATCATCTACCAATGAACAATTAAATCCTACAAATCAACCAGGTCCATTTCAATTTTGAACAAAATCAAATCATGAAACATAGATTCGTCAGACATATATATACGTATAGATATATATATATATATATTTTAAACTTGAAAATTTTCTTTTTTTTTTTGCTCTCATTCTGTAGTCATCGCGAACGAAAAAGTAATTAGATATTTCTTTTCCGACACGAAATCTTTTCTTGTTTCTTTTTCTATTGCCGGTGATGTATGTTTTTTGTTTCTCTTGTTTTGAATTACATCAGAATATGAATAATGATGATGACTAATATGAGTGTATGCTTGTTTTTTTTTTCTTCCGGAAAATCATATGTATTAATAAGCTATTATTATCAGACAAAAAAAGAAACGTATACGTATAAATGTTTGTTGTAATAAAAAAAAAAAAAAAGAAAAACAAAATAACATTTTTATTTACTTTGGAAAGATTCTTGGTAACAAGTCAACATTTTGTTATCAGTAAAAATGAAAAAAAGAACGAAAGAAAATATTATACTTCTAGATTTTTACAGCAAAATTACAAAAAAAAAAAGGCACTGTTATTTGGTCAATATGTGTCGTCCAACAAAACAAGTATGTCAATTCTAAATAACTGTTAGTGATCTGTAAGTTTTATTATAGAAGTGAACGAAATCGAAATTAATAAAGTTTTGAGTATTACTGTTAGAGTCTATCTTGATGGACTCTAACGACTGCTTGACAATAATAGAGTAAAATTTATGTAATTATTTAACAAGTTCAGGCTACTTTTCATGGATGGTTTATAAGATATTAACGTTTGGTTTTTCTTTTAACATAAAATACTAATAACTTCTGAGGTGAGCATTACTTTTGAAGTGTGTGACACATTTCTAAATTCAAAATTTAGCTGAGGATCTTTACTAATACTACAACATTTGTACTTTATATCCTAGAAAGTGTGAAAAACTAAAAAATGGTCCTTTCTACCATATCTACTGTGGTGAATGTTCATTAGAATCATGTAAAAATATAATAATAAAAATGTATGGGGAAAATATCTATAAAGTCATATATTGTCCAAAAGGCTTCACACACATCGTAACTTTAAGTCATTTCATTTATTTTTAGATTTTTTTTCAGTTTCCGTATAATTACAATTAAAATGAATGGCATGTTTAAGTTCAACCGATAAAACTACATACTTGCATCTCGATATGTTGCCTTTGTGAGCTTTTGAAGCTCTAAAAAATACTCGTATAGACTTTTTTATACTGGTCTTTAAAAGGATTAATTCAGTAAAGATAAAATTAGTCCACAACTTATTACCCAGGAGTTCGTTGTTTCACATAAGAGAAAGAAACTATACTTTGTAATTCTTGTACTCTCATACGATTCAAACCAGACAATAACCACCGGCAAACGTTCGATATAATACTGGTGATAATACGGGCAAATTTACAACATGAGCTTTCTAATACTTTTTTTACATTTCTCAATACTTCTACATAATTCTTATTTCTAATAGATAATATATGAAATGTAATCAATCTTTTGTTTATTAATAATATATATTAACTCTCTTTATTTAATTAGCAAATAGGAAGAGCAGAGAAGTGAGCAAATAATACTTCTTTATGCTTCATCATCATACTTGGCTTTTGTTCGATTTGAATCACATGGATCATCATATATCTGCGGAATGAATATAATAATCTTACGAAAAAATATTTCATTTTTCTGTATATTCTTTAAGATTTCTCTCTATATTTGAATTATTGAAAAAATGATTACAAATAGTATGTGAAAAACACTTTTAAATCTTTAATTTTGCCGTTGCTACTAAATAGAAAAGATTTTATTAATTGATTACTTAAAAATTAGTATATAACAACAAGTTATCATGCAGACTCTAACTGATCAATTGCTTTCTCATCAAAAGCTACTGGATAATGAGTTATCACCCATGATGATTCCGAATATGGCCATAAGAAATCATCTGAGATCTTTTTATGTTGGTTTTCTAGGGTAATAAACATTTTACTAAAAACATTTTTGATCTATTCAGAGTATAGATCATATCAAATCATCAATAGCATACTAATAATTTGGTTTAACTTCTCAGACATTAACTAAAAATTTAATCTTAATTTTATTTTTATTATGAATTCAACTATTATTTTAGCAAATTGCGAAAGAAACAATTGTTGATCATTATTATCAAGAACAACAAAATAATGTTGTTCATACAATTATGTTACAACAACAAATGGAACTAGAACAATTACTTCAAATAGCAGAAAATCTCCGAAATGATATTATTAATTTACATGATCAAGAACAAGAATTAATTCAACGTTTAAATATGATGAAAACGTCGCAAACATCTTTATTAAATAATATTTATTCATTTTTATCCAATAAAAATGTTCTTTCATTTGGTATGAATAAAAAAATAATTACTGAATAGAAAATTTTCTATTTTTTTCTTTTAGTTTCTGGTTTAGTCACAGGTTTCTATATCATTCCTACTATAAGTAAACTATTGTCTTCAGAACATGTTTAATAATATTCTTTTTATTTTTTTTTGTTTTTGTTTGATGTTTTGACATCTTTTTTTTTATGTTGATAAGTTTTAGATGGATTCTGATGGTAATGATGATCAAATTTTAGTAAACACTGCACTTGATTATACAAAAGTAAAATAAACAAAAAGTTTTGAATATAAGATTTATTATCTAATTTCTTTTCTATATTTTTTTAAAATTTAGCTTGATGCAATTAATCAACGACGTCAAACCGAACATATTAATCAATTCTTAATTAATACAGTTCATTTTTTTAATACATTCAGTGCACAAGTTGAAAATAAATTTCAAAAACTTGAAATTAATTTACAACGTATTGAAGCTGATTTTGCAATTCTTGATTCTAAAGTAAGAAAGAATGAACCTTGTTGAATAACATGGTCCGATTCATAATTAAGAAACTAAATGTACCATATTGTAGAGTAAGTTGAATTGTATATAGTAAATCTTATTTTCATAAGACTTTGAATGATCAATTACTGATCATTGTGATCTATGCTATCGATCGAAACTGTTTGTAAAAAAAACTTTTCTTGTTGATAGAACATTGCATGGGCTACACGCTCATACAATTAACATTTTCGATCATTCTATTTTTTATGTGAATAAATGTGATTTTTCCATAATTCATCACCGTTTTTCGCTAATGTTGAGTATCCACATTGTAACGAGATGCCAAACTTTCTCAGAAATGGCACGCAATGCAGTGAATAAATTATATTTTAACTTAATTAATATTCCTTCTCAGNTTTTTTTAAAATTTAGCTTGATGCAATTAATCAACGACGTCAAACCGAACATATTAATCAATTCTTAATTAATACAGTTCATTTTTTTAATACATTCAGTGCACAAGTTGAAAATAAATTTCAAAAACTTGAAATTAATTTACAACGTATCGAAGCTGATTTTGCAATTCTTGATTCTAAAGTAAGAAAGAATGAACCTTGTTGAATAACATGGTCCGATTCATAATTAAGAAACTAAATATACCATATTGTAGAGTAAGTTGAATTGTATATAGTAAATCTTATTTTCATAAGACTTTGAATGATCAATTACTGATCATTGTGATCTATGCTATCGATTGAAACTGTTTGTAAAAAAAACTTTTCTTGTTGATAGAACATTGCATGGGCTACAACACGCTCATACACTTAACATTTTCGATCATTCTATTTTTTATGTGAATAAATGTGATTTTTCCATAATTCATCACCGTTTTTCGCTAATGTTGAGTATCCACATTGTAACGAGATGCCAAACTTTCTCAGAAATGGCACGCAATGCAGTGAATAAATTATATTTTAACTTAATTAATATTCCTTCTCAGCCATTTTTTTTTCTAAATTTTGCCTTGTGGTCTTCCACGGATAGAATCTTGAGGGAACAAATATTTTGATAAAATATAAACTCTTCAATGCAGCTTGTTATGCTTGTTGATAGTCGAAATACAATATTAAGAGGAAAATTGACGTAAAACTGCATGTATCTTGGCGAATTTCTAAATAATGTGTTATGTAGTGCTACATGGCGAGGAATTTCTGAGAAAGTTTGGCGTCTCTTTATATTTTCTATAACTGTATGAAAGAAATTTTTTTTATAAACAGTTTCGACTGATAATTCAAAGTCTTTATGAAAATAAGATTTACTATATACCATTTAACTTGCTCTACAATATGGTATAGCTGATTTCTCCATCATGAATAATTCTCTTTATTCGACAGTCTTTACGATATTTGATAATTATTTGTTTTTATTTTTAGCTTCGCTCAACACCGGGATATCAAGCACTTGATCTTGCTGATGTCTTAAGTCCAACAACATCTACATCTACTATACAACAAATAAATGTGACAGCAACGGCTACAGTTCCACCACCTGCTCCTCCAATACCAACTGGAGGGCCACCACGATCTGAAGGTCCACCACCACCGCCTCCACCTCCGCCTCCGCCACCAGAACCAGAAAAAGTTGAAGATCCTCGAACGGAAAAATATCGAAAAATGCTGGCTGTGGTATGATAAAACTCTTAATTCAGTTTCTATTTTATGATGAATTTACTTTTGTAGCGTGTACCCCGTGATGCTGTTCGGCATAAAATGATTGCTGAAGGTTTAGATCAAGCTGCAATCGAGTATATTTATTTATTCGAATCTCTATTTTTGATTCATTTTTCTTTTTATTATAGTTCTGTCATCGGTTCAGATTAAAAATTGCAATGATCAAAAGTCCTTTTTTTTTTCTTTACTTGTGTAATTCTTTCTTTTTTTTCCAATTTATAAATAAAGTTTATCTAATTTATTTCTTATAATTAGACAAAATGTTTGATTTACTTGAAAGCATTTCAATTATAGATCGTGACTAGAATTTGACGAGAGACTTAGAAATATTGTATCGATTTTTATTCAAGAGCACAATGAATGACTTTTTCGAAAGATTTGATAATGGTGTGCTGACAGATTTTTGTTTACCTTATAATTCTCTTTTTCAAACATGCTAAAAATTGTTGAATTTAGAGCTTTCTTACAGTGTAACATGTTGTTGTTATTGATTTTTCAAAAATGAGTATTTAGAAAAAACGAAAATCGAGATTAGTTGAAAATTATCTTCTAGATAAATATGAATATACATCATCAACATGCTACAATCTATTCTTCTACACCTAAACTTGTTGAATCATTTTTAACTATTCCTCGTACAACAACAACTGATCGTAATGATTTTATATCATCACTTGTTCATACACTTGTACAATCTGATACAATAAAACAATCATCTCTTATTGAATCACTTCGACATCAACAACAAATAATTGGTACAAATTCAAAAAATATTCATCAATTTTCTCGACAAAAACGTAAACATTTATCACGTAAAGGAAATAAATTATTATCAAAAACAATAAAAAAAGTTCGTAATAATGCACGACAAATACGTAAAACAGATTTTAAAATTGATTATAAAAATTATTTATTTATGAATGATTTATGGAAACAATATATAACAGAATTATTAAAAGATGTAACAAATAATGAAGCTATACTTCAACGTATTCTTTCTGCTGATTATCATGGATGTTTAATACGTATTGTTAAAGCTAAAAATCAATCATTAATTGGAAAACAAGGAATTATTATTCAAGAAACAAAAAATATGTTTGTTATTATTGAAGAAAACAAAAATCGACGATGTTCTATACTAAAAAAAGATTGTCTTTTTTCAATCGATATTATTGTTAAAGATAAACAACAAACAATATTTGTATCAGGTACAGCTATTGCTGTACGACCTGAACAACGTGGTCAAAAACGATCAACAAGCATTGAATATATGCACGAATTTTGTTGAATTTTTTTTAATGTTTTGATTTATAGACAACAATAAATAAAAAAACAAAACTATCTATGTGTATAATTTCATTTGCATTTTTTTTTCTCGAAGAAATTAAGTCAGTGAATTTGATTGAAAGATCACAAAACTGACTTTTAAGTTTACTGATATAGTGTCTACTAATATTGTTCAACAAAGTTTATTTTCAAATCTATCGGGTGTCCCAGAAAGAATGGGCCTCTCAGTATTTTTAAGATTTCTTCTCTATTATCCCTGTAATTAAAGCTCTCTTTATTATCAAAAGATAGTGCTTGAAATTCTCTACAAAACCATATATGAGTTGGCCCCAAAACTGTCTTAGATATATTTGAAAAAAGACGAAAACTAAAGACATGCAAACGGCTGTAAAATATAAATATGTCACTAATAATAAACAGCCGCACTTTGTATTTCATTTTGTAATCTCTAAATTGGTTTTATTAAAAAAACAAAATATACCATAAGATGCAAGATGAAAAGCTCTACAATCTACTAACTAAAGTTTATTTTAATTGTATACTTTTTGTTTTCAAAAAAAAGCAAAACTCTATGCGATGGATTTTCGTCATTGCGAAAACCGATCATATAGAGTTTGGAGTTATTTTCAACTTAAAAATGACCCAAATAAGATAAATTGTTCTTTGTAAATTGTAGAGCTATTGACGCTGCATCTTGCAATACATTTTGATTTTTTTTAAGGAACTATATTAGATGGTAAAAAGATAAAATAAGAAAAGGAATTCTCGTTCGTGTAAAAACCAGTGATTTTTTTCGCAATGGCGAAAATTGGTTGCACAAAATTTTGCTTCTTTTGTAAACAAAATATATACAATTAAAATAGACTTTAATTTCTAGATTGTAGAGCTTTTCACCCTGCATCTTATGGTATATTTTGTTTTTTTTAGTAAAACATATTTAAAGATATATATATGAAATGCAAAGTGCGGCCATTTATTATGGAACACCCGTTATTTACATTTTACAGTTTTTGTATGCCTTTAGTTTTCGTCTTTTTTCAAATATATCTAAGACAGTTTTGGGGCCAACTCATATATGGTTTTGTAGAGAATTTCAAGCACTATCTTTTGATAATAAAGAGAGCTTTAATTACAGGGATAATAGAGAAGAAATCTTAAAAATACTGAGAGGCCCATTCTTTCTGGGACACCCGATATTTCTGCAATCTTAAACACTAAAAAACATTCAAACAGAACGATAGAGTAATAAAAAAAACATAGTTTTTAGAGATGATCTTTTGATGCGAGTAGTTTATTGTCAATATGTTACTTTATTTTTTATATCTTGCTTCGTTTTTGAAAACAACTTGATTGTTTTTTTCTGAGTATGATTTAACATAACTCATATTTCTAGATGAAGTACTCAGCAAATATCAAATTACCACGTTTTATGATGCATTTTTCCTATGCTGGTCAAGCATATGCTGGTGTTCAAATGAATCCTAGTGCTAAAATTGATAGTGTACAAAGTGTTATCGAACGTGCACTTTATAATTTTCAACCAACAAAATATCCTCTTCGTTTTGGTGTTTCATCTCGTACGGATCGTGGTGTACATGCATTACATAATACAGCAACATTTGATTGGATAGCACCTATTGATATTACAAATTTAGTTCAACCATTAAATAGTTATTTAACAGATAAAAATGAACAAATACGTATTTTACGCATACATTCTGTATCACCACAATTTCATTTTCGTCGTCATTGTCTTGGTCGTAAATATATTTATCGATTAGGTTTTCTTAATGAACATGAATTTACAAATATTAATACTGATATTCCTTTTTTAAGAAAAAAACATCGTTATCTTTTACGTGATATGACACCAGCTACGAATAATCTTTTTGAAAAAGATTTTATTACTTATATTGAACCACCATACGATTTGGATGCATTTCGAAAAGGAATTGAAGTTTTTCAAGTAAATTGATAATACTAAAGTAAACTTAGTTCCTTTTTTTTAAATAGGGTCAACATAATTTTGCAGCATTTACAAATAGTCAAGGTCGTACAAATATGGCAATTGAACGTCGTTGTCCTGTAAAAACAATGCGTCTTAATTTTAGTGAAGGTGAACATTTAGTACCATTAATGGAATGTTCACCACATCATTCTTCAATGCGTATTTATAATCTTGTTTTTGAAGCTGAAGCATTTCTTTATAAATTAATTCGACGTATTACTGGTACATTAGTACATATTGCTAAAGGACAAATGACAATTCAAGATGTTCTTGAGCGTTTTGCTTGTCCACCTGATTATTATGATAGTCCATTACCAATTACACTTAAACCACATGGTTTATATTTGTATGAAGTTAAATATAATGAACAAGATTTTCTTAATCCACCTATAGTTAAAGATGATGATTCAGCAGCCGATGATATTGATAATGTTATGATGGAAATGCAAGAAGAAGATGAAGAGGAGAATAATGAAGAACTTAATAGTAAAATGATGGCTGCGAGATAATGAATGTATTATTTTAGCAAATAAATTTCTAAAAAGTTAATAAAATAAGATATGTCAGACAATTTCTACATGTTTTATAAGAACTAATTTTTACTTTACTAAGTGTATATGAGTAAATTCCTTACTACTTTTAATAGTGCTGGTATTTATATTGATCTTCTTTTGACATACAAAGCACAAGTAAATTGGTCTTATTCTACTTTAATTCGATTCATAAAAACATATTTGACAGGATTCAAAACTATGCGCAGTCTTTATTTGAAATTTTGATCATCTTGAAAAATTACATTTCGCAAATCATCTCATCTTTTAACTGTCTTTTCTTGTATTATTAACCATGGTATTTCTTCTATCGACGCATATAGAAATGAAAATATGTTCACGATTATACATTTCATAAAGAGATTCTGAAATTAATATTTGCTTCAATATTATCGTATGTCATGTTATAATAAAACTTTGCTTTGTTAAACCCAAGAACAGTGAGTTTACTTTTTCGTAGTTCACAAAATAAAAAAATCATTTTTACGTAAAATCAGGTTCGCTAGTAAAATCGAGTGATGCTTGACTTAAATCTTTTTTGGATAGTCAAGTGAACGATCAAGTAAAACGATTCGTGAATTTTCAACTTGGCTAAATAAACAATTAAAAGAATAATTTATCGATCATTACAGTTTGTACAGCATCAAGTGATATTTGACAATCCAAATCATTTCTAATTGTATTTAATCACAAATTAACTCTACATAGCATTTCATCATGATTTTTAATATCAACTGATATACTAACTGAAAATATAAACTGCTCTAAACTAGATTTTTCACTTAAATTTTTACATGAGTACTCTTCATTAAAGAAAATTTATTCAAGAAACACAAAGCTTTGAGCATTGTTTATGGGTGAAGACAGGTACAAATTCTATTGGCAATTGTCTTGCAAAAAGAAGATAATTATGAAAATTTAAAAGACAAAAGAAAATAATATTGTAATAGCGAAAGTATCCTTGAATGAAGTTTTTTTTTGTCTTGATATAGTTTTGTAATTGTATCTAGAAAAATAGAGAACGTATTTTTGTAACATTAAAAGACACGATTGTCATTTCAAGTACATAGAATCATTTGATTTCCTAGAAACTACAATATCTCATAGGCTTTCATTTAAGCACGAGATTCAAACAAACAATTGAATTGCAGAGTGAAAAATGTCATAGAAATAATCCTAAATTTCTGGTACTATACCAAAAGAAATCTATCTGCAATAGATATTAGCAATGTGAAAGTTGTTCATTCTACCCTTGTTGGTAAATACTTTCAATCAGACTATTCTAATAAGACTGTACAATTGAGCTTAATATCCAGCACTATTTCTATTCTGAGATCGAGTGTGAGTATAAAGAAAACACCCACATTTTCCTTCGATTCTCTCATAATGGTTTTTTTCCTGTCCTATATTGGAATATACTAATACGACACATATGTGATTAATATCCAAAGGTGTTTTTCTTCTCGAACAGAAGACATGGTGAAATGTCATTATTATTGATACGGGAGCTAAGTATTAATGACTAGACTTCAACATGCTTTTACAAAAGGGTCAAAGCAAGATAAATATGGCGTCAATTCTGTTTGTTATCCTTTTTTTTTTCTTTTTTATTATTTTCAATTATTAGCTGACAAACATAAGGAAAAGAAAAAAAAAGACAACTACAACAACCACAGAAAAAAAAAAATAAAGAATAATAATCAGATCATTTCGAACACAGACAGAAAATTGAACAAAAAAAAGAATATGAACAAAAGATATATTGAAATAAAATAGTCATATAAGAAAAGAATTCTATTAATTGTTCATTCAAGTTTTTTTTTGCTTCTTGAAACGACTTATTAAAGAGAAATGAAAGAAAGAAAGAAAAAAAATAACTAAGACACAGATTAATATACGCTTGAGAAATTATCTAATAAAAAAAAAAAAAGAATTAGAATTAGCGTAAGATCGCATACATCAAACAATCTCAATTCAATTTTACCAACAATCTTCAACCACATCACATTACCAAGATATGTGAGGAAAAAAGACAAAAAAAAGTAAAAAAATAAAATATAAGACAACACACAGTCATTCATCTACATGTACGACGATGACTAGAAAATTAAATTCACACATATACGCACACAAATACATATATATTTTCATTGATTTAGTTAAAATCCATTTGCACCTATAACACTACCAATTGTTTGTGATGGATGAAAGACTGGCTGTGATGATTTTGAATGACGTGTCACTGCCTTATGTGATGACATACTACCAATATGAATTTTTTGCCAACATCGTTGACAAAAATAATCGAAACAAGCAAAATTTCGACAAAATAAATCACCAGCAGCTATTTTACATAAAGAACAAAATCGATATTGTAAATGTGGTTCAATTTGAAGACGTTTAAGAAAACGTGGAGTTCGAACATCGACTAAATAAGAACAAAAGAAAAATCGAATTATAATAATATAAATTAAAATCTTTTACAAGTTCATTGCAAGTTTTAGAGAGTCACAATCGCTTTGTTCTTTCTCCTACCGCTCCCCCCCCCAAAAACATGTCAACATAATTAATTCAAATCAACTCCTAAGGATACTTTTTCAACCATATTGATAACATAATCTAATCTCAACTTACCAAAAGCTGTTGATACTGCATGAAGAAAACTTGAACTATTATCGAATGTGACTCGACCACTACCAATTCTAAAACAATAAAAAATCGTTAATTATTTTTGAAAAAAAAAACTTATTTTCTATCATTACTTACGGATATTTATATTTATCAATATCAACTCCAGCATAAACAGCTCCACCAAATAAATCTTCCATTAAACGCCATAAATAACGAGCTGTCATTGTACCATGAAGATTTCCAACAAATATCGTTTTTTTTGAATCAAGTTGTTGTGGTGGTCTAAAATTAAATCAATTTCAATATTTTAAATCTAGATAATATTTAATATTATAACCGTAATGCATAATTATTATCTCCAATATTCCATGGAATAATTTCAACAGTTTTTCTTGAACCAGTTGCTGTTTCAAAATGTATAAAATAATCTGCACATGCATTACTATTTGTTTGACGTGAACAATTATCTAATAATGCACATACAGATTTAGCATTATGAAATACAATATGAAAAAATCCATTATCACGATGTTGTTCTTTATGTAAACCATGTAATTTTGGCCATTGAATTTCAAATATGCCAAAACGATCAAAATTTGCATGAATATCAGTTTCAGTTGCAAAACGTGGTACACCACCAATAAAGACTTTTTGTGAAAGTAATGGAATTTGTTGAATACCATTTATATCATTTGTTTGTTCAGTAGAAAAATCACCAATCCAATGACGAATATTTTCCGTTGTATCATCTTGTTTTCTTATAATAGATTGTTGTTGTTGTTGTTGTGAAGTTGGTGTTAGTGAAAGTAACCATGGTGGTCGAGTATTTTCATCATTTATATTTAATTGATGACTTGAACTAAATGGTAATGCTTCATTATTAAATGAAAATGGAAGAATTGATGAATTTGTTCGAGGATGAAGATCATTTAAAACAAGTTGTTGAAATGGTAATATACATGATTGTTCAAATGACATTATATTCGATGTATTACGTAGAATATAATCTTGAAAAGGTTTTTGTTCTTGATCGAAGATATTTTCATCTGAAATAAAAATTAATTTTATGATCATATGTTATTAAACAAAGTATGATTAACCAAGCAATTTTGAGATATATATTTTTTTGAATGATCTTAGGAATCATAGAAAATCGTTTTTTTTTTCGCTTATTATAGTGTTCATTTAAAAACCTCTGTAAAAGTACAATAAGCTTAGGACATAAAGTCTCGATTTCAAAGGTGATTCTTCAATTGAAGGACTTTCGTCATTAGTGTAAAAATTCACTTATTCTAACTTGAAACTATTTTTTCTATTATATACATATAAAAACTTACTTGACATAGTTGAATTAAGTCCATTACCATTTATTGTTGTTGTGGTTGGCCAAGTTGAAACAAATTCTTTAGTACTATTTTTCATTGGAAATGAAAAATCATTTCGTGGACAACAATTAACATCCATGGTTATAAATTAAAATAAAATGTATACTACGTAGATATAAAAAAAGAAAATGCTGTGTTATATATATATATATATATGTGTGTATGTGTTTGTTTATATGATATATGAAATGAATGACTGACTGATTGCGTCTGCGAACTTCTACATGTATATTTTTTCTTTTTCGTCAGTTGAATAAAGAAAGAAAAGGAAAACAACTATTTAGTAAAATGAATCGTCCGATGTGCATCGACGAACTAGATCTTGGAAAAGAGAGAGAGAAAAAGAAATAGTGTGTGCAGAAATATGACCGAGGTCATTGATCAGTCATTCGATGGGTTTTTTTTTTTTTTTTTCTTTTTATTTTGTTGTATTATTGAACAGACGTTCATTGATATCCTGCGTGCGACATGTAGAAAAAAAAAAGATATTGGATTGAATAGATACGATGAGAGAACGAGCGGAAGAAGGAAAATAGAAGGAGAATAGTGATCACACAACAGGGAAATATATACACTAACGTAGAAATGTGTGAAATAACACGACAAGCCAATTGAGATTGTCATGTTATTATAGGAGGGCAGCTGCTTGTCGTTTACGATATACCACTTCTCACATTAGCACTGAATTTATATGTGTACAAATCATGCAATCGAAACTAATAATTCATGAGAAGAAAAAACAACAATGAGAATATTCAAGATAAATCTATTGATATAAACTATCGTATTTATTTGATCTGTAGTACAATTTCAAGTATATTTTATCTTGAGAATAGATTTTATTGAATTATAAACTCAATTGTTATTTCAATGTAAAATATATAGATATATTTTTTCAATAATATTTAAGAAAAAAAGAATAGAAAACATCATGATGAACTGTGTGAATTTTTTGAAATACTTGTTGAAGTCTTTTCTTATCATCAAACGTTAAACGAAGATGAAAACAAAAGTGTCAATCTGTGTGAAAACATCTGCTGATGTTTAGCAGCATGATAAGGAAAAAGAAAGAAAAAATGAAACTATCGGATCAGATAAAAGAGAAAAGACGATCAATTTTAGTAACAAACAAGTGTATGTATATAGAGCTTATTCTTACCGATTTGAACCAATCAATTTCTATTCCATGTTTAACTCTTTTTTATCAAACTTCTCCAGACTTCCATTGATAATAGTAATTATTTCGCTCACAAATAGCGTCCTAAAAACAAAATACACAAATTTCTGAAGACAGTCTTCGTCAGGCACTGCAATCTGACATACTCATTCGAATAATAAAAAAGTTGAATCTATAGAATAAGGGCTCACAGAGAATTTTGAGTTGTCAAATGATGAATACTTGTGTATAATAGAAAAGTCTAGAATGGTTTGCTTTTCCAAACCTTTGTTCTGGAGATACTAATCGACTTTCGCCTTGAAGCTTTGCAAGAATACCGTTCGCAATGAGATTAGTTTATTGGGCAAATTGTAACTTTTCTAGTATCACCTATCCTGAGATATTCAATATTCGAAATTCTCTCATGTGTAAATGCAAAATCAACTAATCTTATTAAGAATTTTGTTCGTGTAAAGTTTGACAGCCGATTGGTATTTCAAGAACAAAGATCCAGAAAAGCAAATCATTCTAGATTTTTCTATTGTACATTAGTATTCATTAAATGAAGATTCTCTTTCTTTGTCTAATATAAACATCTTTTTTATTGACCACACATTTTTAGATCATTCAATAATAATTGTATTTACTTCTCGTCTAACACAGCTTCAAGATCTACTGTTACTAGAACAATAAACATATTTCTTTTTTTTTGTCACATGATTTAACAAAAAAAGTCCTTTCGATGTGCTTGATTTTGATGATATATTTATAATTGATTGATCTTCACGCTACGAAGGAGAAAGGAAATCTTGAAAATCATAGCAATCTACGCATGCTGAAAATTATATTTTCGTTTGACACTAATCCGTTGCGTATTCTTAGTAAACTAGTAATATATTTCCAAAAAGAAAAACGATAACATTTGAAGGCAAAAAGTTATTGATTTAATATTCAATAGCTAAGAGGATGTAGAACGACAAAACAATGTTACGAAATATGTTTTGTCTGTGTCAGACAGCCTTCAGCTCAGAATGTTCGACTATTAATTTCTATACTGAAATGTTTTATACATATTTGTGTAGAGAATTGAATGAAGAGCCTTTTAGTAAAAAAACTCAAGTTGAAATAATGGATATTGACGGCGGTATTAATAAAATGCTGAGAGACCTATTTATTCTGAGATATGAGTGCAAATTTTGACATACTCAGCGTAGTTTATCTATTTTTTAGTTCTTAAATAGAAAGATAATAGAATTTTTTTATTATCAAGTGTTAAAAAGATAAAATATCGAAGAAGTAAGAAACTAAGTCAAGGAACATATTTATATTTTGTATTACCCTTGAATATGTCATTGCTTAAGAATTATAAGTATTCATTGAAACGCGGTTGTTTTCTTTTTGTTGTTGATATTTTCATGTACTTGATGTTGTTCGTTTTGAACATGATATTTATTTTCAAACATATTGTTCACTTAAAGTATATAATATAAAATTTATTGCATGTTTTGTATACCATAATGATTCAAGTAAATCAAATCTAACGAAATTTTGTATCACAAAATGTTATTGATGATGTTAAACGATTTATACATATATACAGTGCTGGCCAAAATTATAGGACCACTTTATTTTTAATTTTTTTCGATAAAGCCAAGTAGCTAGATCAAGTTTCAGTAGTTGTTTAGATAGCTCTTGAAATTCTCTATCAAATGCAGTATGTCTCAAACTTTTAGAACAACGTTCTTGAAGAAAATTTTCTAGAAAACCCTCTCCAGCGGAGCTCTAAGTCCTCGAGGACTTTGCTAAAAATATTTTCAATATAGCCATTTGAAAGCGCATCAAATTCTGAACAAAATGAGGGGTCGCCGCGTTTTCTACGACCTTTCATTGCAGCTTTATGGGCATCACAAAACGCGAAGACAAGCTTTTTTGATCGATCTCTGGCGAGTGGCGGATCACTGTCCTTTNATATCATAAATCTAAAATTTTCATAAAATAATAAAAACAAAATAATCTTCTTCTCTTTTATTTACATGACATTTTTCTAATAAATATAATTTTTGGCCATGTGTTAATGCTGGATTACGATAAATTCCACTTTGTCTCAAACGTCTACTTGATGGTTCTTTAATATGAAATTGTTGTAAACCAAGTTTAGGTCGTTGAGATTTTTCTACAACATAACGATAATATTGTCAAAGTGATTCAGCAAATGTTGGATCAGTTTGACATTCATTAATAAATGTATCATGAGTTCCTGAAGTAGATTGAGAACGACGATTAGCTGATAATGAACGATTTCGTTTTGTGTGGAATGATCTAGCTTTTTGTAGCCGACCTTAATACCAAAAAAACTTTAATATTTTATATAAAAGAAAATGATACTAACGTGATTGTAGCGTCATATTTGCTTCAATGGTAGGTTGATCGGTTGTATTGTCAACTGAAAATGAACCTTTGCACATACAATTATGCCAATATTTGTTTTGACTCTGAATAGTGTAGAAAAAAAGAAGATCAACAATAAACAAGATCGAATGATAACTGTAAACATACTTTCAAAATGTCGATAAGGATCAACCGGTATTCTTCGCGGTCATCGATAAAAGACATCCAGATAAAAATCGCACTTTTTCAATGCGCCACATTTCTCTCTTGAATGTCTAATATCAACAAAAAAAAACTTTCAGAACACCACATTTATATATAGAAGAATGTGGGTGAGGACAAAAAAAGCGCACTCCACACCCAATCGGGAGAAATTCTTTTTCCTATAGATGTATTTCCTGATATGACATATCTTCGTGTTGGTTGTACAAGTTGTAGTGATATTGAATTATTCAGACGGATTATTTTAATGAAATGACTAGTGAACATCGCCATGATATTCGTTCGTTTTGTTTGAAGATTTCAATAGCAGACAATCTGATGGTGAAAAACTTACGGAAATCGATTCGTTTTGAAGAACCTCTTTCTGATTATATAATTAAGCGCGTACTTGATACTGTTTATTTACGATGGAAATAAAACGAGTTGTTTTCCTTTATTATAAACAAATGAAACGATTGTGAAGCAGAGATATTCGACAAAAGTGTATTGAGGATAATTATTCATTTACTAAATAACCACTGGTCTCTAACTAAATTCTTGTTAATTTTTGATCATTTGTTCGACAGAGTTCTGTCGATGATGTTTTTAGTTTGTTTTGAAATACGAATGCTTCCTATTTGCTGGTCTTTTGACTGAATTTTGCGACATTTGAATTCATTCTTGTAAAATATTGATGGTGAAATATAAAGTTTGTATGAAAAAACTTGTGGTAAATAAGTAATAAGATAGAAACCAATGAGAAGATAATGTTGCCAGTTGGCTTGAAATTCTTGACAAGTGAAAGTAAATGAGAGAATAAATTGAGGATTCCCCTGAATAATGTCGAAAATAAAAATGTCCGAAACGGCATTTAATGTGGATGTGCTAGGTAGCTGAAGAAAAGTAATTTATGACCACACTTACACACATCCGCATTTACACCAACACTCATGTTCGCATCCTCACCCACACTCTCTCCTACACCCTCACACACATTATCACTCTCATCCTCACTCGCACTCACATTCTCGTTCAACATTTTTATTTTCTGTATTTTTATTTTGGACATTATTCAGGGTTACCAAATTGAGTTAAAGAGAAGAGTTGTGGGAGCACAGTAACTAAAGGAACCAAGATCAATTCTTTATTTTCATTCAAGAGATCAATGTATGAATAAAATGTTGATGTCATGTATGTGGTTGAACTGCTACTATTACTCTTTTTTATTTCAGTCATAGCACGTTTTCGAATAATGAGAATCATTAAAATGATAGTCGATAACCGATTAATGAGAAAAGGTACGGAATAGCTTAAAATAATATGAGCTTGATTGCATTTCTCGATATCCGCTAGAATTCTTTGTTTTTTATGTCTATTTCATAGCTGTTTTAAAATGTTTTTGTCTTGCATCTAATCTTCGCATCATACTGATGAGAAAAGAATAGAATCGCGTTCGACAACGGCCAGCCACGAGGGAGACAGAAATATTCCGTTCTCTTCTTCATTCTTTCATATACAACATCATACTACCCCGAACAAACACGCCATTTTTCTTCTTGCACTGGTAATGACAGAAAAACATACATGTCACAATTACGCAGCAGCAAATGCAGAGCACTTCTCGCAACGTGCGCATAGCTATCGAACTGAACTGACCGCAGAATTGGCAAGACGATGTGCTACAAGTATTCTCAAAATATATCCATTCGATGTGAATACAACAGAAGTGCTCGATTTCGCCTGTGGACCTGGTCTTGTTGCCTTCGAACTTTTGCCACATGCCAAACGGATAGTGGGCGTTGATTCAGCACAAGGCATGGTCGATGTTTTTAATCAAAATGTAAGAGTTCAATTGACTTAAGTGTCGTATTCATTCTAAAATAAGAATTTGATGACACATATACCGTAATCACTTATAAAACGGGAATTTACAAATACGCTTTTCTTCAACATACGCTAGTGATCGTTTCTGAATTTGAAATCTGAAATTCTTTTACACAGTATCCGCTTTGTCGTCTACAAAATGTCTTCATCATTAGTTCTTCTTCACAATATATGAGATTGTGTTTTATCCGAAAATGATTGATTACATATGTCAATACAATTGTAATTAGTGTATGCAACATATCAAATAACGACATAGATCTTGTAGTATGCACAAAATAAAACGACAAGGGTTTTCGACGAGAGAAAAATTGGTAATATCTTATTTTGATGAATGTAAACATAGGTGATATACACAATGATTTCTGGAGAAGGAAACAAAGCTTTGGCAAAAGAATTCTGCTCTGCAAAACGATTTTTTGCTCGTACTAGTTTACAGGGGTTTTTCGACCATCTCTTTCTCTATACTGCTGATGACGTTTTTAGAGATCTGGATAACCATTAGATACCTTTGGAAAAAACCATTGCCTCATGATAACGATCATTACCAAAAACAAATTGCAGCTTTTAATCTTCTAAGAAAACACAAATTTTCTGAAATTTTTTACTATGGGAATATCTTTTGAATATCCCCAATCTTTTTGCATCATTTATTCATATGACCCCAAATGGCTATAAACTGATCTTCTCTATATCTAGATTAATTTCTGACACATTTTCAACCATTTTTGAATAGTTTTTTTTATATTTCTTCAATCGAATTTAAATTCTTGACTATTAATAGGCTCAACAACAAGGCGTATCATCGGACAAATTGCATTGTGTTAAAATCGATTCTCTGAAAGGTGATCATACTGATGTCGACGGACAACTGTTCGATGTTGTCATGTATGTTTATCGAGATAAGAGCGAACTACAGTAGTATAATATTGATTGCCTAGTTGTGTGCAAGCCTATCATCATTTTGAAGATCCAACGCATATCACCAATGCACTTGCTGAACGACTCAAACTAAAAGGACGTTTGATCATCATCGATTTTGCGGACGATGAGGGTACCAAAACTATTCTTGAGCGCAAACGTAAAGGTACATCCGTTCATACAGTTGCTCACAAACACGGTCAGTATTTTCCCGATTGATACTGAATAATTTATATGTTTAATTTCGACAGGCTTTTCATTCGAACAAATTGTAGATATGTTCAAATTAGCTGGATTAAAAGATATTCATGCTCAGGTATTCGAGCTATTTTTTTACTTTTCTTAAATTCAGAGATTTCTTTCCAATTAGTATGGCTTCAAAATATCCAAATCTGAAATGAAGTCTTATCAAGGTTATGAAATTTTTATCAAAGGATTGGATGGCGATGACGATGACGATTTATCATTACAATATTTTGTAGCACATGGCGAGAAAGTTTAATAACAAAGAAGCCAATACAGAAAACTAAATAGATTTTTATTGTGATTGTCATACTACTTTCTACTTTTCCTAATCATGTCTATTTTCCATCAATTTACAAAACATTCTCTAAAAATTCAAAGACGAGATCGAAGCTTGAAAGGTCATCAAGTGGGCGGGATATAGTAGCAGCAACTATCATGATTGAGAGTCAAATCAGCCACTAGTAAAAAATATCTTTTCTTCGTGATTCAAAAGCTAAAAAAATATTACTATACGGTGTGGCCACGTAATGGTCCCTCCTATTTGTGGTAGTTTCAATAAATATGAGAAAATCGAGTTTTTCGAAGAGCTCAACTGCCTCATGGCTATGTAACATTTTCACGCCGATTACCAACACGCACGTGTGTAGCTTTAGGGTGTGGGTGTGGGTGTGGGTGTGGGTGTAGATGAAGAGAAAAACTACACCCACACCCACATTGGAAGAAGCGTGACACAAATGAAAAGACAATATACAAACTAACGCCACAACAGGTACAGTACGCAACAAAACTCAGGACTTTATCTGGCAGATTCAAATGTAATCCCATTCTCGAACTTCAAACACTAGGTAAGAAGAATCAAAATACCCTTAACATATTGAGAAAATTTGCAAAGGATGTTTCAATTCACATCACACATCCGGATAAATGTAAGGGAGTGGTTATAATTGACAAAAGTGAGTATATTAACAAAATGCTAGATATTTTAAATGATTCAACATCTTCCATACCAATAAATGAATATCCAACAATAAGTAAGGAGGATGATCTTATCAGGATTCTCCACAGGATGAGAAAAAGAGGATTTCTTACAGAAAGAGAACATATTTTAGCCAAACCGAAAGGATCTTACTGTGCTAGGATGTATGGATTGCCAAAAGCACACAAAGATGGATTACCATTACGTCCAGTCCTGTCATCTATTGGTAGCTATAACTGTCGTCTAGCCAACGTTTTAGCTACTCGGTTGCAACCTTTACGACAAAGTCAATATATACTTCGTGACTGTTTCGATTTTGTACAGTCACTAAAGAAACTAGATGCTAGAATGACTAAACATCAAATGATCTCATTTGATGTGACAAGTCTGTTTACCAAAGTGCCACTAGCATGCACAATAAATCTAATATTAGACGGGTTATATGGGGTTAGTGATAATTGTCTTGATAAGAAAAACAAAAAGAAAAGAGAGGATTGGTGTTCTAATCGTCAAAACAGAACGGATCTAAAACAACTATTGGAGATTGCTACAAGTGACACTCACTTCAGTTTCAACAGTAAGTACTACAAGCAACATAATGATGTAGCGATGGGCTCACCATTAGCACCAATAATAGCGGATATTTTCATGATAGATCTAGAACGTAAGTTGATGAAAAAGCTAAGAAAGAAAGGTGTTCTGTGGTACAAAAGGTTTGTTGATGATACATTTGTGATCATTAGGAAAAAGGCAGATTCCGGTAAGTTACTCAACATTCTGAACAGCTATCATCCGGACATTCAATTTACATTAGCAAGTGAGGAGAATCAAAAAATAGCTTTCCTGGATGTACTGGTAAAAAGGGAAGCCAAATCCTTCGTAACAACAGTATACAGAAAACTAACATATACGAGTTTGTTAACGAAGTGGACATCCTTTGTCCCCAGGCAATATAAAATCTCAGCTGTCAGCACTATGATATATCGGGGAATACAACTGACTTCTACATATACATTGATTCATGAGGAACTCGATTTCATACGTAACGTTTGTCAACGAAATGGTTATCCCACTGGATTTATAGAGAATCAGATAAGACGAACTCTGGGTAGGTACATGCAAAACCATATGGATATTTCAACGCAAGGTGAAGGTCAAACAATTGGTCAGGGAGAAAAACAAAAATCAACACATAACGAGGCAAAGGGCAAGGAGGAAGGTGGGGAAGGTATATTCATGGAGGTGCCATTTGCTGGAAAGTCAACACGCAAATTCATACAAGATGTCAAAGGGATAGCGAAGGAATTAAAAACTACGGCAAAGATCATAGCTGTTCCTAAACCCCCTAAGGCAGTCGGTCATTTCTTTTATAACAAAGATTCAATCAGAAAAGACCTTCAAGCTAATGTAGTATATCAGCTCAACTGTTCTCCTTGTCCTGCTACATATATTGGAGAAACTACCAGACAAATGTTTAGACGGTTGAAAGAGCACGATGCACTGCAACCATCAACTCCTGCTCGTGAAGAGGGAGTACGACGTTCCGCTTGCATCGCCGAAAAAACAAAAAACACAAAAAACGGTTCTTGTAACTCAGTAGCAATCTGCAATAGTAGTATTGATAAGAATGGAGACAACACAGTGTCGGCTGGTAATAATTCGGCGGTTAACAGACATGCCCGAGAGACAGGTCATAGCATNCATACTCAGATAGCCTTGCACTAACAAATATCAGTTATATGAGCATCCTGATCTTGTCTGACGTACGCCTACGGTCCGCATCGTATTGAAGGAGCAGTCAATCAGTATATAGAAACATTGTATTAAATTTGTGAAGTATGATCATAAATCGCAGAAAGTAGAGGGATACCAAATATATGTGCATTTCTCGATTATGAGATGGTCAGCTTCATTTTTAATAAGACTCAGTTGAACTTGAGTAGCTTTATCTGTAGTAAATTGTGACCGGTGCTTACGGTGCTCGTATACCGGTGGAACGGTGAACGGTGCACCGCTACTACGGTGACCGGTCGGTACGGTGCACCGGTTGGTACGGTGCACCGGTGGACCGGTGGCACCGGTCCTACGGTGAACCGGCGGACCGGTGAGACCGGTGAACGGTGAACCGTAGACCGATCACACCGGTGACCACCGTCACCGTTGCATCCCTAATTGTCTCCATTTCTGAAAATAAGTAATTTCGATATATTCCAGCAAACAGGCATTGACATTATACATGTGTTACTTGAAGGTAAGTATTTTCTATGTTTATCGTGATAACCTTGATTTTTTAATTTTAATTGAAGGAATATGTCAACGAGAATTAAAATTGCTTTTTAAACATATTCATCAACAAAAATTCTCAAATCTTCTTTCACTCGCTTCAATGATACGTAATTTTCAATATGGTAGTAAGGAATCATCTCCATCAAATACATTTAATCTCTCGTCTGAGGACAACGAGGTATAAGCTTGTACTTTCGAAATTTTTATCCGTTTGTGGTTTTTTTCTTCTCAAAACTGTTCGACTATGCAGCTTCAAAAAGATATTGTTTTAGTGTCTTCAAAGCTGTTTCAAATTTATACCAATCCTACAAAATATTTTTTCTTGTAGGAATCAGTAGTTCAACATTTTCATAACAAATTTATTTATATTGTCACTGAGAATCCGTGAATAATTTACGTTTATTTGCCCTAAATCTATTTCTCTCGAACATAAATTATATTTATATTTTAGGTGAAATTTCGTGCATCAGCAAGTGAAATGTTAGTTCTTTTTAAATACATTCCAATCATTTTTTATCAAGCTCGTCTTATTGAATTACTATCTGCATCATTATGTTGGCTTTCATTTCTTTTACTTCGTGAAATAGTTTCTATTTCATTTGCTTCTGAAATTGACATGATGACTATTGAAAATCTTGAAAAGCTTGTTACTCATTATTTACTTACATTTGATAATGCTTATGGTTACGCCCAAAGAATTCCAAAACATCATTTGTTAGTTCATTTCGGTGCACAGATGAGCCGATTTGGGCCATTAAGATTTACTAGTTGCATGGTATTTGAGAAAAAGCACAGCTTTTTCAAAAGGATCAAATATCGTAATTTTCGAAATATTGCGTATACATCAGCTGATCGTCATTTCTTTATTCTGGTCATCAAATCAAGAAAATAAAAGAATTAGACAGTACTGCTGCGAAACAACATCATTTGCTCGATCCATATAAGAATTTATATGAAACTGATCAAGTAACACTATTCGGCATTACCTATACTATTGGAGACGCTGTTCGTATCAATGATTGTGTTTTTCCAAGCGATCCTGTTTTTGGAAAAATACTTACTATTATTGTACAAGATGAAATTATGCTTTTTCGTCTTCAATTGATGCAAGTTATTATGTTTAAGCAACAATTATGTCTGTATGAATTACGTTTACTAGATTCTTCAGTTACAAAAAATATATATGAATGAAAACATGTATGGGCTCTCAGATTATTGAAAGTGTCCGGATCATTGTTTACTAGCTTATTCCCTTATGGACGTTCTTATCTTACATTGAATGAATAATAATATTATAGTTTTATTCAAAAATTTCTATTTCTTCGATTCATCATAAATTTGGAATTTACTTCTATATGAAGCATATATAATTAAAAGAAGACTAACTATAGTAATATTTCTTTGTTGTGAGTCATTGATCAGTCCTTAGAATAGTATGAGCTGAGAAGTTTCTAGATGCCTCTAAAGGATTATATTATTTATAGAAAACACTTGATTGTATTCTTGATTTTCGAACAAAATAATCGCTGTTAGAGGAAAAAAGAGAATAATCATGATTTTAGTTCATTAGAATAAAATTCATTATTCATATTCTATAAACTTAAATTCCTCAGTCATTATAAGTTACTTATCCACTAAAAATTAGAAAATTTAAACTTGAAATATTTATTACCTATTTGAAGGAATATTTAATGCAACAATGTCTATTAGAATGTACACCGATGTTTTTTCAGATGTCATTTTTACTTACTGGTCTTGTTCAATTCGGTGATGAAACAGAAATGGTCGACATTTATGTTGGCTCTAGTTTAGCTGATGTACATGCTCAATTAGTGGCACCATTTGATTTAGATCCGAATCAATGTATCATTCAAGTATATGAATCAAAAATATTCAACGAATATATCAACCTTTCAAAAATTTCTTTAATTACAAATATGAATTCTGGTCGTTTTCGAATTATCTTGAAAAAAGTAACAAAATTTTTTTCTATTCAACGTCTCACTTTTTTTTTATAGGTTGATTTATTAAAAGTGCAAAATACACCAAGCAGTTCTCATCGATCTCAAGCACTTTCTGATGTTGAAAGTGCATCACTAATATTGCCAATAGATTTCCTTTTTTTTAGGATAATTTATCAGTTTCGTATAAAGATCATTTGGATCAAATGAGTTCGGACAATGAAAATCATAGTCCACAGGTGGAATCATTCAATTCTGTCGAACCATCCGTAAAATGTCAACGAGATAGTAAAGGCAAACGTGATTTGGTAATAAAAATAAATCTCGATTTAATAATCTCATTATTGATGATATACTTAATAGATTAACTACATTCATGAATAATATGCATACTTACAAATCTGATTTTCATAATTGAAAGAAATAGTTCTTCTCATAGTGTTTTTTTTAATCTTCTGCTTTAGGACAATTTACGTGAATTACCACCTCTTCCATTATCACATATGTTACCATCTTTTCCAATTCAAATAAAATCTGCAGTTGCTTCAGGTAATGTGAATATCCATTTGATTTAAAGTTAAACAGATTACTTAGTATGTGTAAGTTTGTTGAATTCTGTAATCCAAGAAGTAGTCAACATATTGGCACATCACTTAATCGAGTTCAACGTATCATCAAAAACACATTATTGTCAAATTCGAAGTGCATTTGCTAAAGAATACTCAATGAATGAATTCAAAGACAACCGAGATCTTGTTCATATTTTTATTAAGCTTTTAACGCAAATATTAAATAATTTATATTTCATTTAGGATCTTCTTATTCGAAAACTATCTCGTCGAATACGTGACCTTCGGAGTCAAATTAAAAGAAATTCTTATAAAAGACCAAGATTTCTTGATTGGGATAGCAATCGATATACAGAAAATGTAAGTCAAACAGATTCACCAGTTATTGATCCAACAACGATTGGTAAGTCAACTTTTCATATACATGTAATAAAATGACTTTCAATCAAAATAGCTGATTCAAGTCAATTAAAAGAATTTATTACAAAATTGAATGATGCATTTGACAACAATCAAATGACGAAAGGCACAACAACTCAAATAATTATCGAGTCTTTTCGTCTTCGTCGTTGCTATTTACAATTTGGTCAAAGCACGCAAAAAATTTTAAACGAAATGCGCTTTTCACAACACATTGCATTTGTAAGTTTTTTTTTCTTTTTCATTGCAGTTATATATTGTTTTTTATTCTCAAAGATAAAATTGGAATTTGAACTTATTACTAAAGTGTCGTTATTAGTTGCTACGCAACGAATTCGGAAATTTCTAGATAATATTATTTCATATGAAATGTATGGTCAATTACCAGATGACCATATATGTACAACCAGTATTAAACCAGGAACTATATAAATTCTGTAGACTTGTTTCGAACATAAGTATTTCGTGAGAGTATTTGCTTTTATTCTCATTAGTTACTAATTTTGAACGAGATAGTTATCAATGTTTCTTGATGCATATTAAGATTTTATAAATAATCTCGATTAATTTATTGACAGCACCTGAACATATATGTTGTCTTGACTTGAATTTTCTTCTATTCGCCAAAATTGATATTGATTCATAAGCAAAAAATAGAATGGAAGATTAACTTCTTTTTTACTTAATCATAATTCAAATATCAAAATTTCCGGAATAGCTGATCGAATTATTTAGAGAGACGAAGAAGTATTGACACGCATCATCGCCCGTTTGAGAGCATGCTACAGAAACGTAATCATAAATGAAAAGGTATGAATTACCAAATTTTGATATAATTAATACAAGACATGACTTCATAATTTTTTTACTAATTTTATTTCTTTTTTTTGCAAATATGCATGTTCTCTCGACTGAAGGGAGGGTCATATGAAAAAAGATAGTTTGTTTGTTCGTTTGCTTGTCGTCGGGTTAAAGGTCAAAAAAACATCAGTAGTGAAGTTCATTTAGGCGTAACTTCTAAAGTTTCACCAAAGGTAATCGAGGTCCGGAAGTCCGAACCTTAGGTGTGGTTTTACATCCGGTCATCCCATTGGCTAGAAAGCCGACCAATCAGAAATGACCTTTTGTCATCTTAACTCTTTCGCCAGTTTTGAATAAACTTTACTATAGGTTATCGAGAGTCAGGATTCCGAACCCTGGGGTGGAATTTTACATGTTAAAAAGGTTGATGAAATTAAATCAGAGTCCAGGAATCGGAATCTGAAATTGGTTTTTCAAAATTTTCAAGTTGATTTTGTTTTTGGTCAGGAGTTGCGCTTTTTGCGAAAATAATGATTTTTCATAAGGCTTAGCCGAGGGTAACTGAGGTCGGAAAAGTTTAATCTGAAGTCAATTCTTCAAAATTTTGAGTTTGATATTTTCGGTTAAAGAAAGGCTTTTTCGAGAAAATAACGAGGTTTTAGAAAATTTGGCGAGCCTAAATCGGCGTCAGGGCATGCAAATTTTCACTATATTGCTGGAAGGTTACCGCTATAATTTTACAGTCAGGGTAAGGTTTTTTTTAAGGAAACAATGAGTTTTCGGTGTATTGAACATTGAGTGGTATGAAATAAAATGAGCTTGTGATCTGACAATGATTGGGAGAGTAACGTACTCAAATTGTGTTAGCGGGATTACAGGGTCGACTATCTCACTAGCGTAAACTATATCTGAATTTTTTCCACAGTATGGGTATGAGGTGTAGGTGTAAGGTAGAACAAGATCAACCCACTCAGGCGCATACTTACACCGATACCGACACCGACACCACAAGGTATTCCTAATATCCAAATTCAAGTTTAAGTCAATGCGACATGATTGGCATCTAAGCCTGCTCGCATTGCGTTTTTTCTCACTTACTATTCCATTATTCGCATTTGCTTTTCAGCAGACGGTCTGACTCATGAAATGTCTTGCCACTATGACTGAAAGAGAGTAACTAGCTTTTGCTTAGGTGCGTTCAAATACTGGAGCGACTAGCCGTGAGTGGCGCCCCAAAGAGGCGCCAACGAAAGACTAGTCATTCCTATTTCAGGTTCACTGTTGATTCGCCTTAGAGATGGTCTATATAAAGGCTAGGTGTTTTTGGCGAATATTGCACTAAAGTTCTCTTAGTAAGGAATTTAAGTGAATCTCTGATTGGCTAGCTAGGCAATGAAATTAAAGAAATAAGGAATAGTTCACAATAAAGTTTCGACTTTGAAGTTTCTCATCAACAATTCCCGTGTTATCACTCTGACGACTTTTAGAACTGTTATAGTGTGATCAGTGATATATGGTATTGTTCTTTTTTTCTTTCTTATGTCCTCCTATCGTACATAGATGACATGTACGATACACATATGTGTCTTTTATTTTCTCTTCTCCTTCTCTTCTCTTAACCCAGCCTTATGACAATACATCAAGATAAGAAAGAAAGTGATCATGGCGTCAGTGTATAGAGCAGAAAGAAAAGAGAAAATCTAAGAAGCATCTATATGACAGGAAGAAA